TGGCCTAGCGCCTAGACTTTTGGCTGAAATAAATAATAAAATAATTAATAATACGACACATAATGTATACAATACTATTGTGACATTTTATTTTTGTAACTCGAGTCCGGTGTCGTTCTCATTCCAAACGTGACATGGCGCGAGGAAACATAATGTAATAAATGAAGCACCATGGCGTAAAGTAAAATAAAATATTATCGATATCCATAATAATGATGAAACGAAATACTAAAATGAATTTTTAATTGAAAATTTATCTCTGTATTTCGTACTCATTGTTGCAACTAATATATTATACATATTATTTTCTTGTACTCTACGCAAATAGTGATCTCATTTATAACGCTAGTTTGTTCACATCGACGTGAACTTCTGGCGGCAAGTGGCGCTTGGAATGAGAAAGACGACGAGAACGGAAATCTGTCTACTTCCCCACTCCTCAGTTTTTCTTTCTCGCCTGCTCATTCTCATCGTCCTTATTCACTCATTCGCCCGTTTTCTCATTCATTACTTCAGTCGGTAATTTTGCGTTCCGGAAACATTATATAGTGCCATTTGTGTCATTCTGTCCTTGTTTTATCCACTTCTATCTCTCGCTCACTCACTCCTTTTCTCCTGCCAATCGGCCCGCGGCTGATTCAGTCGTTTGTTGATGATATTCTTCCGCGATCACGTTGCTGTGTCGACAATAAGAAAGTATTCGAAAGAAATGGCAGGCCGGGGCCGGCCTAGAAAATGTAAGTACAATATCGATGTCATTACTAAGAGTCAGCTAGTATGAGAGTGAGAGAGAAAGAGTGAGAAGAAATAGATGAGTGAATGATAGAATGAAATATCGGGCGGGCGAAGGAACGAAAGTGGCGAGAAAATGGACGAAAGATGGAGTGAAAGAAAAACCGTGCGGATGGAATGAGCGAAAAAAGTGGCGACAAAACGAACATATGAGCGAGGGAGAGAGAATGAGCGAGAGAGAGAGAGAGAGAGAGAGAGAGAGAGAGAGAGAGAGAGAGAGAGAAATTGAGCGAACGGGAAAATAGGCGGAGTGAGTGAAGTCGTGGGTGAGAAAATGAGCGACTGAACGAATGAAAGGGAAAAGGAGTGAGTGAGCGAGAGATAGAAGTGGCGAGAAAACAGACGGATGAACGCGAGCGACCAAAAGAACGAGCGAGAAAGGCTGCGTTTGGAAAGACATTATTAGCTGCTTATTTGCGTCTTTCTGTCTTTATTGTTCATTAGACATAAAACAAGGACAGAATGACACAAATGATACTATATAATGTTTCCGGAACGCAAAATTACCGACTGAAGTAATGAATGAGAAAACGGGCGAATGAGTGAATAAGGACGATGAGAATGAGCAGGCGAGAAAGAAAAACTGAGGAGTGGGGAAGTAGACAGATTTCCGTTCTCGTCGTCTTTCTCATTCCAAGCGCCACGTGCCGCCAGAAGTTCACGTCGATGTGGACAAATTAGCGTTATAAATGAGAGCACTATTTGCGTAGAGTACAAGAAAACAATATATATAATATATTTGTTGCAACAATGAGTACGAAAGACAGAG